GTTTTCTCGACTTGTAAAAACCCTTTGACGTCACTAGAACCACACCCCTGTTGGTTCCTTCAACCAATCAGGACTTACTACAAGTGACCGGAAGCAGAACTCTTTAAAAGTCGACACTTCCTGGAACTGTCAGTTCCTCTGAGTCTTTTCAGGTCTCTTCTGAGTCTCTTCTGACGTCTTCTCAGTCTTTTCTAGTCTGTGGAGTAGTTCTGGAGTTTTTCCACTGCTGAGTGGAACTTCAGACTCAGTTTCCAGTCTGATGGAGCCATCCATCTCTGCAGGAGCCACGACACCTCGCTGTGGCTCCACCCGGCGAATGCCCTATAACTGCTGAGGAAGTTGTTCTGTAGAAGGGAGTATCTCACGACTTCTGCCGAGTCGCAGCCGCCCTGAAGAGACGCTGAAAGGTAGCGTGCCAGGGACCTCTTGACCGCAGCGGACCCATTCTCTGCCAAGGTAAAGAGTCGTTCACGAGCATCACTACAAGTGTACCGCGGCAAACTGCGCTTGAAAGGAGCATGTTGTTCTGGTCTACAGTTATAAATCTTCCTCCATATATTTCCTTTAAACTCCTCCATATTTCCCATCTTTAAAACTCTTCTATCTTGCCAGTAATTAATATAGATATCTTCAGAAATGTCTGTTGTTTTTATTAAGTAAAACGTGCCAAGTTTTATTAATCTGAAGCAGATCAGTCTAATCAAGTGTACAATGTTTTGATGTTAAATTTTGATTCTGTTAATAAATGACCACATTTATTTTGATGGGTCAAAGAAAATTAACGTCTCATGTTACTGATTAAACCATCTACGCACAGTACCTCTGTCACATATCTGTCAAGTAGCTCGAAAAAGAGAGAACCTGTTATTAAAATATGACTGTAGTGGAGCTCTAAAGCTAATCTAGCCTTTTAGATACACTACAACTGTGTCTAATCAATGCAAACAAAACGGAGTGTGAATCATGAGGATGATGCTCCAAAGGCCTACATTAAAACTACAGCTAGCAGTAGAAAAATCAAAAAGTTAAATGTGGTTTCATCGTAAACACCAACATCCCTGAACTTGGAGCATCTCCTGATGGACTCAATGTGTGATCGCTGCTGCCTGGAGAAAGTTTCCTTACAAATATAGGACATGCAGCATCCAGCAGGCCGTGGAGGCAGGCAGTGAAGTTCACCTGAAGAAACATCATCCATACTATGCACAGGTGCATAATCAAACCACTGTGACCTTGTGTGGACCCAGAAAGACATGGCTGTCTTTCGTGTGTCTCCAGAACAGGAATTCTGTGAAGCTCATCTACAGAAAGCACAAAGCTTCTTAAAGATATTTCTCAGAGCATGTTTGTACTGCAGCTTCAAGGGAGACATAAATATGTAAATCATGCTGTTAACTTATATTTGAACATTTTGTGTAGCAATTTTCTATGAAATGTATAACCTCACACAATGTTCATCACATTTGTTACAAGAAACGTTTAATTACATAAAATGTTTAATTCAAAATAGGGATGGGGCCGATCCGATCTAGTATCGGTCTCCGATACCAGCAGAATTTACGTATCGGATTTTTCCAATCCACCAGCCGATATTTCAAATCCATGATGCATGTTGGCTTCAAACTACGGAATGGATTTCCTGAACAGCGGTGTGCCTCATGAAACCAGAGTAATAAGACCCGCCTCACATTCAGGAAATCCATTTCATAGTTTGCAGCCAGCTACAACGTGAGGACTAAGTTAGCAGCACTGTGGCTATGTACGGTTGTTTTAACCAGTATGGTACAGTTGTTTTTTCTTACATAGTTATTTTACCATAAAGTTGTTTTTAACAGAATTAGTTTTTTTTTGTTTTGTTTTTTTACTGCATGTTTTTTTTACCATACTTTTTTTTTTAACAGTATTGTAACTGCATGGTTGTACCGAACGGATATTAAAAATACTTGGTTCTAGAATTGCGCCACTCAAGGAGGCTGCATGTTGGAGCATCTCTGTAACTTTCATTCTGAGGTTTTGCTTTTGGAAACTTTAATTCCTTTTTTTCTGGATGTAAATCACATTTTTTTTGATGATCGTTTCCTCTGGTATCAGATGCTGTGCAGCTGGAAGGATTTTTACTGAAACTTTATTAGTTTTGGACATTTGTTATGATGAGTAACCTTGGCAACGAGGCTGTTTCTACAACCAGGAACAGCTGATTAACATCTCAAAAGCTCAAATAATATCTCAACTACAGCCCAAAATCTCAAATGAGTTGAAAGGATGTTCGGAGTACACGTTCTCATTTACCTGAAGGCTCTGTACATGGTTATTTTACCATAAAGTTGTTTTTAACAGAATTATACTTTTGTTTTTTTTTTACTGCATAGTTGTTTCATTGTACGGTTGTTTTCAACAGTATTGTAACTTTTTTAACGTATGGTTGTGTTATAATGCATGGTTGTACCGAACAGATGTTTCAAACAGTGATGTACACTTGTTTTTTTTTACTGCATGGTTGTTTTACCGTACAGTTGTTTTTAACAGTATTGTAACTTTTTTAACGCATGGTTGTTTTACCGTACAGTAGTTTAAAACCACAAGGTTATTTTACCATATGGTTGTTTTCAACAGTATTGTACAGTTGTTTTTTTACCGCATGGTTGTTTTACCGTACGGTTGTTTTGTACCGCATGGTTGTACTGAACGGATGTTTCTAACAGTGATGTACACTTGTTTTTTACTGCATGGTTGTTTATACGGTATGGTTGTTTCACCCTAAGGTTGTTTTTATTTTTTATGCATGGTTGTTTTACCATACGGTTGTTTTTAAATAAATTGTACAAAAAAAAATTTACTGCATGTTTTTTTTACCGTACCGTTGTTTTTACCGCATGGTTGTTTTGCCGTACAGTTGTTTTTAACGGAATTGTACAGTTGGTTTTTTTAATGCACGTTTGTTTTGCCGTATTGTTTTTTTAAACAGTATTGTACAATTGATTTTTAACGCATGATTGTTTAACCGTACGGTTGTTTTTAACAGTATTGTACCCTTGTTTTATACCGCATGATTGTTTTACCGTACAGTTGTTTTTTACCCAATTATTGTTTTACCTTACCCTTGTTTTATACAGCATGATTGTTTTACCGTACAGTTGTTTTTAACAGTATTGTACCCTTGTTTTATACCGCATGATTGTTTTACCGCACAGTTGTTTTTTACCGAATTATTGTTTTACGGTACCCTTGTTTTATACCGCATGATTGTTTTACCGCACGGTTGTTATTAAATGAATTGTACAATTTTTTTATTTTACTGCATGTTATTTTAACTGCCGGCTCTGTACATGGTTATTTTACCATAAAGATGTTTTTAACAGAATTATACTTTTTTTTTTTTTTACTGCATAGATGTTTCATTGTACGGTTGTTTTTAAGAGTATTGTAACTTTTTTAACGTATGGTTGTTCTATACTGCATGGTTGTACTGAACGGATGTTTCTAACAGTGATGTACACTTGTTTTTTTACTGCACAGTTGTTTAACTGTACGGTTGTTTATACGGTATGGTTGTTTCACCCTAAAGGTTGTTTTTTTTAATGCATGGTTGTTTTACTGTACGGTTGTTTTTAAATTAATTGTACAAAAAAAACATTACTGCATTTTTTTTTTTAACCGTACAGTTGTTTTTACCGCATGATTGTTTTGCCGTACAGTTGTCTTTAACGGAATTGTACAGTTATTTGTTAATGCACGTTTGTTTTGCAAAAATGGTTGTTTTTAACAGTATTGTACAATTGAATTTTAATGCATGATTGTTTTACCGTACTGCTGTTTTTAACAGTATTGTACAGTTGTTTTTTACCGAATTATTGTTTTACCGTACCCTTGTTTTATACCGCATGATTGTTTTACCGTACAGTTGTTTTTTACCGAATGATTGTTTTACCTATGGTTGTTTTATAGCGCATGATTGTTTTACCGCACGGTTGTTTTGAACAGTGATGTACAGTTGTTGTTTTTTTTCTTGCATGGTTGTTTTACCGTACGGTTGTTTTACCAGTATGGTACAGTTGTTTTTTCTTACATGGTTATTTTACCATGAAGTTGTTTTTAACAGAATTATTGTTGGGCTATTTTGTTTTTATACTGCATGTTTTTTTTACTGTACGTTTTTTGTTTTTTTTTAACAGTATTGTAACTGCATGGTTGTACCGAACGGATATTAAAAATACTTGGTTCTAGAATTGCACCACTCAAGGTGGCTGCATGTTGGAGCATCTCTGTTACTTTCATTCTGAGGTTTTGCTTTTGGAAACTTTAATTCCTTTTTTTCTGGATGTAAATCACATTTTTTTTATGATTTTTCCTCTGGTATCAGATGCTGTGCAGCTGGAAGGATTTTTACTGAAACTTTTGTTATGATGCGTAACCATGGCAACGAGGCTGTTTCTACAACCAGGAACAGCTGATTAACATCTCAAAAGCTCAAATAATATCTCAACTACAGCCCCAAATCTCAAATGAGTTGAAAGGATGTTCTGTGTACGCATTCTCATTTACCTGCCGGCTGTGCTGGAGTGCCTGACCACTGCGATCCTGGAACTAACAGGAAACACGGCTCGTGACAGTGGAGGGACAGCATCATCCCTCGGCACCTACAGTTGGCTGTCCGCAGCGATGAGGAGCTCGGCAGACTGTTGGGAGTAGTGGCCATCTCTCTGGGAGGAGTTTTGCCCAGCATTCAGGCGGTCCTACAGCTTTGGGGAAACGAGAGGGCAGTTGAGTCTGGGTGAACTGATCGGATGGCATCTGCAGGCAGTTTCTAAGAATCCACTGTGGGATGGACCTTTACAAGAGATCCTTCCTGCCTACAGCCATCAGTATCTATAACATCTCTTAATGAAATGAGGATAAAGAGTCACAACAACAAATAATTTCCCTTTGGGATTAATAAAGTATGTTTGTTTTTTTAATTGAATTTTACTGTACTGCTTTATATGGTATCGTTGTTTCTCCCTATGGTTGTTTTTTAAAATGCATGGTTGTTTTGCCGTACAGTTGTTTTATACGGCATGGCTTCACCGTAAGGTTGTTACAACAGTATTGTACAGTTGTTCTTGTTTTTTTCTTGGTGGTTGTTTTACCGTACGGTTGTTTTTACCAGTATCGTACAGTTGTTTTTTCTTACATGGTTATTTGACCATAAAGTTGTTTTTAACAGAATTATACCGTTTTTTTTTGTTTTTTTTTTAACTGCATGGTTGTTTTACCGTACATTTCTTTAACAGTATTGCAACTTTTTTAACGCATGGATATTTTACTGTACGGTTGTTTTATATTGCATGGTTGTACCGAACGGATGTTAAAAATAATTGGTTCTAGTATTGCGCCACTCAAGGTGGCTGCATGTTGGAGCATCTCTGTTACTTTCATTCTGAGATTTTGCTTTTGGAAACTTTAATTCCTTTTTTTCTGGATGTAAATCACTTTTTTTTATGATTATTTCCTCTGGTATCAGATGCTGTGCAGCTGGAAGGATTTTTACTGAAACTTTTTTAGTTTTGGACATTTGTTATGATGCGTAACCATGGCAACGAGGCCGTTTCTACAACCAGGAACAGCTGATTAACATCTCAAAAGCTCAAATAATATCTCAACTACAGCCCCAAATCTCAAATGAGTTGAAAGGATGTTCTGTGTACGCATTCTCATTTACCTGCCAGCTCTGTACATGGTTATTTTACCATAAAGTTGTTTTTAACAGAATTAAACTTTTTTTTTTTTTACTGCATAGTTGTTTCATTGTACGGTTGTTTTTAACAGCATTGTAACTTTTTTAACTCATGGTTGTTTTACCGTATGGTTGTTTTATACTGCATGGTTGTACCGAACGGATGTTTCTAACTTGTATTTTTTTGTTTGTTTTTTACTGCATGGTTGTTTTACCGTACGGTTGTTTTATGCTGCATGGTTGTACCGAACGGATGTATTTTTTTGTTTGTTTTTTACTGCATGGTTGTTTTACCGTACGGTTGTTTTTAACAGTATTGTAACTTTTTTAACGCATGGTTGTTTTACCGTACAGTAGTTTAAAACCACAAGGTTATTTTACCATATGGTTGTTTTTAACAGTATTGTAAGTAGTTTTTTTACCGCATGGTTGTTTTACCGTACGGTTGTTTTAAACTGCATGGTTGTACTGAACGGACGTTTCTAACAGTGATGTACACTTGTTTTTTTACTGCATGGTTGTTTAACTGTACGGTTGTTTATACGGTATGGTTGTTTCACCCTAAGGTTTTTTTTTTTTATACATGGTTGTTTTACCGTACGGTTGTTTTTAAA